AAAAGTTATGCTTTCATCGGATGTATTGCAAACAATGAGCACCCCTTGTTATTGAGTGCACGTTGCATATGGTTTTTTAGGTTATTATATGTATAATTGTATAGTATTATTTTATTTTACCAAGTTATTGCTAGTTCTTTTTTTATGTGTATTAAGTGAAGTGTGAAGAACTTTTATATTAACAGCAGACAGCTAAGGACTCTACCACGACACACACACACCAGAACCACCATGTGATATTTTTATTTTTTTTTTTTTTTGTATTAATTGCTGCAAAACAGTTTGTAATAAATAAAGAATTTTCTCTCTCTCTCTCTCTCTCTCTCTCTCTCTCTCTCTCATACTTTACTACTTCCTAAGCCACTTCCTACGTCGTGGACCTGTATTCATCACTTTCCATTGCATTTTAGTATTTTAGATACGTCAATCTAATTGCAACAAACATTCCCACACTCCGTACTGCTAGCCTTTACTACTTTTTTCACCATTCCCTATGTCGTGGGCATGCTTCCATCCCTTCTCATAGCATTTCAGCATTGCAGATACATTAAAACTGCTACAAAAGGTTTCCTGTTCCCACACTCCACACTGCTCACCTTACTACTTCTTTCACCTCTTCCTACGTCGCGGATCTGTTTTCCTCCCTTCCCATAGCATTTAAGGATTGCAGATACCTTAATCTAATCGTCATAAACAGTTTCCACACTCCAGACTGCTCGCCTTTACTACTTCCTTCACCACTTCCTACGTCGCGGACCTGTTTTCCTCCCTTCCCTTAGAATTTTAGGAATGCAGATACCTTAATCTAATCGTCATAAACAGTTTCCACACTCCAGACTGCTCGCCTTTACTACTTCCTTCACCACTTCCTACGTCGCGGATCTGTTTTCCTCCCTTCCCATAGCATTTAAGGATTGCAGATACCTTAATCTAATCGTCATAAACAGTTTCCACACTCCAGACTGCTCGCCTTTACTACTTCCTTCACCACTTCCTACGTCGCGGATCTGTTTTCCTCCCTTCCCATAGCATTTAAGGATTGCAGATACCTTAATCTAATCGTCATTAACAGTTTCCACACTCCAGACTGCTCACCTTTACTACTTCCCTCACCACTTCATACGTCGTGGACCTGTTTCCTTCCCTTCCAATAGCATTTTAGGATTGCAGATACCTTTACTACTTCCTTCACCACTTCCTACGTCGCGGATCTGTTTTCCTCCCTTATCATAGAATTTTAGGAATGCAGATACCTTAATCTAATCGTCATAAACAGTTTCCACACTCCAGACTGCTTGCCTTTACTACTTCCTTCACCACTCCTACGTTGCGGACCTGTTTTCCTCCCTTCCCATAGAATTTTCGGATTGTATGTACCTTAATCTAATCGTCATAAACAGCTCCCACACTCCAGACAGCTCGCCTTGACTACTTCCTTCACCACTTCCTACGTCGCGGACCTGTTTTCCTCCCCTATCATAGAATTTTAGGAAAGCAGATACCTTAATCTAATCGTCATAAACAGTTTCCACACTCCAGACAGCTCGCCCTTACTACTTCCTCCACTACGTCCTACGTCGCAGACCTGTTTTCCTCCCTTCCCATAGAATTTTCGGAATGCAGATACCTTAATCTAATCGTCATAAACAGTTTCCACACTCCAGACTGCTCACCTTTACCACTCCCTTCACCACTTAATACGTCACGGACATGTTTCCTTCCCTTCCAATAGCATTTTAGGATTGTATGTACCTTAATCTAATCGTCATAAACAGTTCCCACACTCCGGACAGCTCGCCTTGACTACTTCCTTCACCACTTCCTACGTCGCGGACCTGTTTTCCTCCCTTATCATAGAATTTTAGGAATGCAGATACCTTAATCTAATCGTCATAAACAGTTTCCACACTCCAGATAGCTCGCCTTGACTACTTCCTTCACCACTTCCTACGTCGCGGACCTGCTTTCCTCCCTTCCTATAGAATTTTAGGAATGCAGATACCTTAACCTAATCGTCATAAACAGTTTCCATACTCCAGACTGCTCACCTTTACTACTTCGTTAACCACTTCATACGTCACGGAACCCAAGCTAGTGTCGTCATTTGATTATATTAATGATCCATACCGCTTCTGTTCTAATATCTGTGGAATAATGCTATCAGCTATTTCTTTATCTACTGCATTCAAAAGTCAACAGCTGATCATATGTCTTTGTTTATGTGTCAAATACTGCTTCCATAAGGATTACATTGAAACTTTGAGACCCAGTGGGGCCGATTCCTGAGAGACTTTTTTAACGCCATATAGATGTTGGCACTCACCGATATGGTCTTTTTCACCATGCAAAATTTGAAAACGATTGATTCAGCCGTCTAGGAGGAGTTTGCGTATTACGAAATGCATAAGAGTCGACGTATAAGAGCTTCGCTCGCTCCGCTCAATAATGATTTTGCTATTTTTACAACATGAACAAAAACATGAAAGCTTGTGATAATATTTTGGCTCTCCCAAATAGTTATGCCTGGGTCATTTATTCATTGGAAGAAATTGACATACAACAGTACTGTGACAATTTAATTAAGGTTTTCGATAGGCTATTTGTTTACGTTAACTTCAAGAATTGAAACACATTATTCTGGATTAATTAAATTGTATTTGTTATTGTCTTTTCTTGAATCTAGAAAGAGCTTATACCAAATTTTACTAGTCTTAGAATAGATATATAATTATTTTTTATGCCACACTACACTATTTTGACGAACTTCACATGCAAGGATTTTAGTCCAGAAAACAGCTGTTTGTCGCCAGCTTAATCAAATGGGGTTTCATCTAGGAGTAATCCTCCTAGGGTTTCATACAGTAGGCCTACTACTGTACTGCCTATATACCACTGTGTAGGCTATGGATCTGTAGGTCAATTCATAACTTAAATTTTTCAAATTATCATTTAGGCCTGTGATGTGTTTTAATAACTTTCTTTCTGGCTTCATCGATTGTTCTTGAACGTTCAATCCATAACTTCCTCGTAATCATTTTTTGAAATAAATTCTTCTAATGCTTCAAGTCTTCAAGATCACAGTGTTAGTCATTAAAAATAAATGGCTTCAGTGACAGTGATGGTGACAGTAACTGGAACTGGACATTCTGTTCTGAAAGTTCCCTTTGCATTATGTAATACTCGGAACTGGAGCTGGAACGGGAACGGGAAGTGGAGTATTTTGACGTGCGAATAGTCACTTCGTAATAATAACAATAACAATTAACAACTGTCAAGTCAACAAAATTGCGTTGAGTTGACCATATTGTTTACTCAATAATGTAACCTTTAACCTTAAAACTACGGTCTTAATCATTTTGACTCAACAAAGTAACATAAATGGATAAAATCTATGTTATGAATAGTTTGATTGCTTATTCATTAATAATATAAATGTTTATCTACGTAAATTTGTTAAACTTGGTAAGTTAGATAAATTTAATACTTTTAGGTACCGGCACTGTAGCTGTAGCTGTTTTTCAAATAATACTTTGACATGAAATTGAAAAATCCTTTCGAATCTAGCGTAGGCCTAGGCTAATTGTATCTAAACCACCACAAAGCTTACCAAAATAGGACTAAGACATTATTCTAACCTAAAAGCTGGCTACTGGAGCCATTCATAAACTTTAGGCGATTTGAGGGAAAGCGATTCCATCCCCTCCACCCCACCCTAAGTTTAGCTTCGAAAAAAAAAATATCCCACCTTAATTTTGTCCATGGACTATAATTAGGCTAGTAATTACTGTAGAGTGGACCATTAGGCTGACTGATCAATGGGAGAGATTTTAGTTGTGTAACAGCTTATTCAGAGAGGCCGCTGTAAAATTAACATTGGATAGTTTGGGTGGAAGATTGATGAGGTGGATGGGCTGAGTCGTTTGTCTGATCTGTGGTGTGTCACTGGCCAGTTTGTTCTTATTCAAATTTGTTTGATCAGGATTAAGATTTTTGTGTTTTCTAGATGAGGATATGAAACATGATAAAAATAGGCATAAGTTAAGTTAATTAGATTGATGAATAATCTTTTATAATATATAAGACTTACCGTCTTGAAGCAATCCAGTTTTTGTACTCAGTGTACAGCTGTTTCGGCTCCATAAAGCCATCTTCAGCACATTCTTTTAGAGGTCAATTCATTATAAATATGCGAACATTCTGGTTCTTGTCAAATTTTTACAACACATTTTACACAACATAAAAAGATGAAAACATGAACTTTGGTAGGCCTACCCTACTTGTATGTTGCGAAAAAAATACCTGTAGCAAATCTGCTACAGTATGCAGTGTAGGGTAAAAAATGGCCGAGGAAATGTCCACTTCGGAAGGAATTGTGTTTTTGAAGGGTTCCCAGACTTCTCACAGAAGACCACAAAGGTAAAAGGTTAGTGTTTTGGGTTTTAATGTGTTACAAGGAAGAAAGGGATAAAATGTTGAATCAAATTGTTGCTGGAGACAAAACAAGGGTGTCTCATATCACTTGTGAATCCAAGCAACAATATTTCTTGTAATTATGGCACTCAACCTTCTCCATAAACTTCAAAGCCAGGCCCGAGCCATCTTCATAATGGACACTTTCAGGGCCCTTTTAACCCTCCCTAACCCATTTCCTTACTTTACTCTCTCTCTACTATCCGGTCTTACGTTTTACTTGACCCTTTTTAAATATTTTATCAAATATTTTGTATCATCAGGTGTTTTCATGGGCTGGATATAAAATAATTCCTCGTAGACATAGAACTATTTTATTTAGGTACAAAAAAAAACTTTAAAATGTAGGTCTTAGGAACTTCATTCTTGTAGAGGTTTTGCAATAACATCAACATGTGATTAGGATGTTATAAAATCAAGTGTATTTGAAAATGACACTTGTCATCAAGGGAGACTTCTAAACGAGCTTCTACTGTATTTTAAATATCATTTTGTTTATACGTTAACAATAATTTAATAGTTAAAAGATATCAACTTTCTAAAATAGTTTTATTAAAAAAATAGATACAAATATACACAAGACACAAGCAAATAAACCTTAATCTAGTCAGACTTCTGTGGTTATCTCTATCGTAGTGGCAACAGTGTCACCTGTTGTTGTTTCTACTCTTTCTGTCGTAGTGGTAAACTTGTTGTCTGGGCAGCAAATACCTGCGTAGCTGAAACAAAACTTTTAATTTTTAGTCATAAGTTTTGACTTTTGTCTTCGGTGCCATAGTAAATTTACAAGGATGGCTTATGAAATCACTGCCAAACTCATAGACTAAAATGTCCTTTAATCTTATTACCGTCAAAACTTTACATAAAATAGAGAAAATTAATAACTTGTATTCTTATCAAACTTTTTTTGTGATTTTACCACCGAAATTAATGTTACGGTACATCAAATTTTGTTACATTGATAATTAATTATGTCCAATGGCTAAAAATTATTATAATGTCCTGGTGTTCGCCAAAATTCATTACTAATGAAATCATTGAAATCCAATCCGATCAAGCAGGCAACAAACAGTGGTTTTCTAAACTTAGTTCATTTGTGGAAAGTCTATTAAAACAGAGTGGTGTGGCAAAAAATGTTCTATAGATTTTATTTGTTTAACCATGTGCTTACCCATTAGGCAGTGGACAGTAGTATCGTATGTAGCTGGCAACACTGTATACAATGTCAGGCAGTACGCAGTGAGGCAGATGACGGCAATGACTGAAGCCTGCCACGGGGTTGGTACACTCTCCCATTGGCCAATCCTCCTACAGCATAGATAAATTTTGCATAAGACAGAAGGTATAGGAATCAGCTGTTTTATGGACAGTCTATGCTTAACCTAGTGTTAGGTTTATGTGCTAAGCCGAGTATTGTTCACTAGGTGAGGCGACCGGTTATTTATTACTGCTGCAAGACTGAGTTTGCACCAAAAGGGACTAGGGATAGCCCAATACAGTAGCAACTAGTTTTACACACTAGGTAATGTCCTCACTAGGTTGGTAGGTGAGTATTACAAATACAATATTGAAACAATGAGATATAGGTAGTGGTTTATCTAAAAATATCTGTTCATACTAATTTAATTAAAATCAGACAATATATACACCCATTGGTCACGATTACAAAATATGTTGATCGATTTGTGTGAAATTTGGTATGAAATTTCACACAAATTTGGTTTGAGATCTTTAGACGAACGACCAGTGGCGGCTGTAGAGATTGCGGGGCCCAAGGCGAAGTTCAATAGTGGGCCTCTCCAGCCTCCTTAAATACCTATATACGGCTGTGTGAAAAGCTTCAATAGTTGGGCACCTGAAAAGCTTGGGGCCCCAGGCACCACCTTGTTCGCCTTAATGTAGGCCGCCTCTGCGAACAACAATATCAGGTTGTTTTGTTTGTATTTATAATATGGAAGAAAATTACTTATTTAGTCTTCTTAATCCTTTTTAGTGTGGAATGCAATAGTAGAGCAGCAGTAAAAAGGACCGGCTGCCTTGCAGGTGAACAATACTTGGCTTAGGACAAGAGCTCAACCCTTGTTTCAGCATATGCTGCCCTGAATTATATTTATGAGGGGTCGTAAATTGTGTTACCGTTGTTGAACCTAAACACACTAAAGTCCATATACAGGGTGGTAAAAAAGTCCCTGGACAGTTAAATATTTTAAAAAATAATGCAGATAGAGCTACAATACTTGGTACAAAGTTACAGGGCATAAAACTCTATTTTAACACATATTCAGTGATCCAATAACTCTTCAGGGGGACGGCCCACAAGGAGTCAGAAGAAAATCTTAAATGGAAGCATAGGTCAATATGCACATCAAATTAAAGGTATTTTTTTAGTAAAATACAATGCCGCAAACCGCACTTCAAAAGGTTGATCCTGCGCAAAATGGCAGATGTTCAAAGATTTCTTAAATCCGCCATTTTGAATCTTTGAACGACTGTCATTTTTTACTCAGGCATTATTTTGAGCTTGAATTTACGGCATCGTAATCTACTAGTGAAGACCTTTGATTTGATGTGCATATCGACCTATGCTTACGTTATCAATTTTCTTCCGATTCCTAGGGCTGTGCCCCCTGAGAAGTAAGCGTATAATAGCAATGTAAATTAAATGAATCTTTGAACAACTGTCATTTTGCGCAGGATCAACCTTTTGAAGTGTGGTTTGCGGCATTGTATTCTACTAAAAAATACCTTTAATTTGATGTGCATATTGACCTATGCTTCTATTTAAGATTTTCTTCCGACTCCTTGTGGGCCGTCCCCCTGAAGAGTTATTGGATCACTGAATATGTGTTAAAATAGAGTTTTATGCCCTGTAACTTTGTACCAAGTATTGTAGCTCTATCTGCATTATTTTTTAAAATATTTAACTGTCCAGGGACTTTTTTACCACCCTGTATGTAGTTGCACATTGGGCATATACTGTACATTTTCATTCATCTTGTGGTCTGGAAATGTATGGAGGAATTTCGATACAAAATTTAAATACGGACGGCAAAAACTGCTTTAACAGTTATGGTTAAAGTCTGTTGGGCTGGGAGGAAGTGTAGGTCTCCGTTTTTTAATAAGCAACTCCTCATAATATAGTCTTGGCTTCAAACAAATGATTGTGAAAGATCAATTTTATAATTTTTTTTTTATATTTATAGGAAATATGAAGACAATTTGGAAATTGGACAGTTTTGATCTGTACAATGCAAGAAATTACAATTTTAGAAATTTATAAAACATAATCTCAGTTTGTATAAAAAAAAAATATATACAAACTAATTCAAAATACATTTTTTTAAATTTACATCTTCGGTAATTTATTGATACCACTTCTAAGAGTTGGCTGACCTGATCTAGTCCTAGCCTGTACTGTTGGTAGGTGCCGTTAACTCCCAACGGCAGCGTAACTGTTCCGTTCTCTCGATCGATCAATCCGTCAAGCCATCTAAGATCTTCTAATGTGAGATTCTTCTTCCTCCAAGCTTCCACTTAAAAACAAACCAATGAATTAAATTAATGCTTCATTGGTTCAAAATTAGTGATGTTTCCTACATTTTATATTTGTTACATCTACGCAGGGAGATGTCATGTTTTAGTGTTGGTAGTGCAGCCAACTGGACTGAATAAATTTCTATAATCCGGTTGAGCACTAGTCGACGCTGTTCAGTAATCTGGAAGTCTGAAATTTAAATATTTACTATTTAGCCAATTTATAGATATTTTCATGTCACTACATGTCTATTTAGTCCAGTCCTGAGTGTCTGCATGTAGCCTGAGAGTAATGTTGAGAGTATATTGAACGGTAGACTATTTCTGGTTTAACTTTCTCACACTATAATAATGCACTCTATTAAACATAATATTGTACTTCATATACTTACACTGTATGAGTTTGTTTGTTGTTGTTTCATCCATGAAACCTGAAATCAAAAAGTATAACTAATAAACTAATATTTAAGTTTCAACATTTTTTTTTAGATTTCCTAATAAAACTCAGGGGACCCTAAAAACTGTAAATGTCCAAATCACTTCACTTTTATCTCCATTGCAAGTATTAATGGATTTTATTTTGGGGATAATTTTGCTAGGTGTTACAGCAGCATGGATAAACAGGAAACCTAGCAAAACCAACATTCTTTGGTTTCTCTGGATAAATTTTAGGCATCGTTAACTAATTTTCATTTTCAGTAGAATCTCTACTATCCGGTCTTACGTTTTACTTGACCCTTTTTAAATATTTTATCAAATATTTTGTATCATCAGGTGTTTTCATGGGCTGGATATAAAATAATTCCTTGTAGACATAAACTATTTTATTTAGGTACAAAAAACCTTTAAAATGTAGGTTTTATACATCAGAACAGGTTTTTTTCTAGATAGATGTATGTGATGTATATAGATGAAATAATTAGTTAAAAGATCAAACTGCGACAGAGTAGCAATACATAGGCATATTTAATTACACTACTGAATTCTCCAAAAATATTCTACAAGTGAGCAGAAAGCTATGTATGTTATTTTTAATTTGCTCTTCAAATTGTTCAGCTATCTAAATTTTTTGATTCAGAGGTAGTTCGTGGTAGAAGCTTAGTCCAACACCCAGAGGACTATTCCTAAATATTTTTACTTAGTTATGTAGTAATATTTGAAGTTACTTTTTCCCCTTACATTGTTTCCTTGTGGCAAATTACTTCAAATTCCTTTTTCAATTACTTTGATCCAATTTATAATTTCATGACACGCTGCTGTCAAAACTTTATAAAGTTCAAAATGGTAAATACTTACTACTGGTTTCTTCGTTTTGAAACTTCGTAGGAGTTGGTCGTTTGTTCTGCAAGAGAAGTCCTGTGTAGATTCGGTTCTTCACTTAAAAACATCCATCTTATTAATGAAAATTACTCATTAACTATAGTTACAAACAGCAACTGATGTAACAGGTAATTTATTGAGCCTACTTAAGAAAAGGGGTATTTGTAGAAGATAAATCGGTACTTACGTATTAAACGGAGGCCACATTTTGTCAGCGCGCTGCGGCAGTTATGTTAGGTTGGGTTATCATAATAGAAAGTATAACTCGTCTGGTATCGATTCATAACGAAGCGAGGAAAGTCCTACACACATAATATTTACGATAACCCAACCTAACATAACCACCGCAGCGCGCTGACAAAATGTGGCCTCCGTTTAATACGTAAGTACCGATAAATCAAAAGCACAACCTAAATTTTGACCTCAATGTCAATGTCTCATCTTCAAGGATGACCTTGAACTATTTCCATAGTTGACCCCTTCAATGAAGCCTACAATATTGTTGTTTTTTATTCAGTAATATATTCACACCATTGTGGATATTCTATCAGTAGTTTTATTTCATATCCTAAAATACTTTAAATTCACACTGATCTTATAAACATTGCGGTACCTGTTCCAAATATTTTTGGTTACAAAATAAAAACTCTTATTTACAAATAAAACCTTTTGCAATTTTTTAAACCAATCAAAAACAAATATAAATAACTAGTATTGTTTACCCAAACAAGTTTTGAAAATGTCAATAGAAAGGAAGTAGTATCCAATGTTAACTGAGCTTTTCTAATGAATCGGACTCAGAGGAAAACAATGGTAAACTCATTCTGATAAGCTTTACTTAATAACTTTGAATTGGGATTAAGACAGAAGCTTACCCAGGCTTTTGTAGAACAATTTTATAATGTTTTGCATTGATCATGTGAAATATTTGGTAAATTGTAGAGGATATACAGAAAGACAAGCATGCATTGAATTTGAGATATTGAAAATATATAGTAATTATACAAATAGTTGTATTTACTCACTGTTTTGAGGTTTAAGTGAATCCTGGTCAATTTCGACGGATTGGTTTGGCTTGACAACAACTAGCGAAGTTACTGGTGTAACAAAATTGTACTGAAATGAAAAAAATTGTATTAAAAAATATATAGGCCTACTTATTTCAGTTTTTTTTTTTTCATTATGGTTTTTTAAGTTAATCTCATTAAAATGTTTTATGACAGAATCAAGAGTTTAATTTATTTTAGTGTTTGCTGTTTGTTTTTAAGTTTAAGAGTCGTTCTAACTCGTAAAACAATAAAAAACTACCAAGGAAATTTCTAATCTCACAGTATACTAGATATTTAAATTACTATCACTTTGGTATTTGAACAAGTATTTTGAGATGGTAAATAAAAAAAACTCTTCAGCGGCTGTTTGAAATTAATGAAATTACATTGCTCTTTTGGCAGGCAAATCCAATATGGCCGTTAGCTTCAATTACTCCCTTGGAGAACATTTCTAATCCCTCAGTTTACTAGATACTTATATTATAATTACTTTTGCGTTTGAAACAATATTTTTGGACGATAAATAACTCTTCATAGGAGCTGTTTGAAATTATCCAAGATGGCCGCTTGCCCCCAAGGACTCTTAAAGTAGCCTATATTAGTCACATATCGATGTTATTATTTCAGGGTCAGGAGTCCAATTTTGTTTGGTTTGAATTGCATATCACCTGTATTTTTTGTAACCTTAACCAGGCAAGTAAAAAAGTATTGAATTTAGATTTTGAGATTCTAGATTTTGATTAAGATTATTTTTTAAGTTGTAGTTTTGGTTTTGAAATTTCTGGTATCCACCATCACTAATATTTAATTATTCATATAGAAATGCAATACTACTAGTTTTAACACGGCAGGTAGTTTAATATGGATCATCAAAATTCAATATAAGAATCTATGAATAAATAATCTAATCTATTGAGAAACACAATTTTAATTACCTTTAGTGCCAGTTCGAGCACTTTCTTTTTCACGTCTTCCGAGTCTGAAACTTGTTTCTTCTCAAGAAGCTGTTGAATCGTCAGAAAGGCCCAAAGTCTCTCCAATGTACCTTTCTTTTTCTTCTTCTTTCGCTTCTTCTCCTTATTTTCATCCTCATTATCTTCTACACTTTCTCTGTGCCCGTAGAGATTAGCTGAAAGCTCATCAATTGGTTCTGTGAGAGTCTGAAAAAATGTTACATTGTTGTTTTAGTTATTTGTTTGGGTTATCTTATACTCTAATTTGAGCAATGCTTGTTTGCTTATGTAGAACAGCAAAACACGCAAATTTGAAAAATAAAATGTGTAACACTAGTCTTATAGGGTTGTAGATAAAAAGACAAAGCATTACAAAAGCTGAGATGTATGAATGTAAACAATTCAAATTTATCTGGTGTTTTATTTAGCATAAATCTTGAGTCAAAACCGAGCTTCAGTATACAAGCTCAGTTACCTTAGAAGTAATAGCTTGGATTTAAAAAAAATCCAGTAAAAAATGTTGATCTAATCAGAATTGGATTTGCTACGTATGAAAATTGATTAACACCATATAAAAAAAACCCTTTGTTCAATATGTTTAACAGTTAATGAAACTAACGTGATTTGATCATTCAGACTTTTATCACCTGTCTTTGTTAAGAGAAATTTGTTTATGTTTTTTTTTCTCAATTGGTGAATATTGATGCATATCTTAACATCCATGCACACAAAACTATGTGAAACGTAGTCATAAAAATCCCTTTTGCACAAATATGTTTACACATTTTCCTAGTCAGTTTCTACTCATTACACTCACCTGAGCCGTAAAGTCAGTGCTGCCGTTGGTGGAAAGGCCAGTTATACTACCAGATAACCGGTTCGTCTTGTCCAGTTTGCCTGCTACTACCAACTGGCTGCCCAAGAATAAAGTGTGGAAATGTTGAGAGGTCAGAGTGGATTTGACAACCTGCAAAAACAACAACAATGTCATTTTTAAATATCTAGATCAGCTCATCTGGTTCACAATTTCAAAACAGTTTACGCATTGACACCAGATTTTTTTTTTTTCTCTATTAATTAATTTTTATATGTTTATGTCTTATTTAATCATATGTGTATTTAAACACCATGTGTCTAATATTTAACAAAAAATAATAGCCGAAAAATTAAAATTGGTGGCCTCTTCCTCTATTAAAAAGAAGCAATCAGGTGTAGTGTGCAACGCCTATTTAACTCACTAATGCAGTCAACTTCCACCCAATCCAGAACCGTTAATTTAAGGTGACCACCGGCTAAGCCATAATTATTAAGCTTATGTGGATTTGTGTAAAGGGATTCAAACTGACGCATGTAGAAAGGCCTGAACACTGCACTCATCAGTGCTGCAACACCTTTAGCCATCTGAGCTACCATGCAACTAGTTTCTCTTATATATCAATTATCTCACCTGTCCGGGGATGTACGAGAATGTAACATTCGCCAGCAGAGGAGATGCGACTTCCTTGTAGAAGTTTTGGAGCTGCAAAGCTGCGTCCGATGCTTCGTAAATGTTACGAGCAAAGCCGTTGTTTGACAACGACAGTCGCCGCAGAAACGACAGATCAGCTCCGTCGCCAAATGACAGACTGAAGATTGCACTTTGTTTCATGTTTAGTTCCTAGAATGATTTGTTTATTTTCAACATTGTTAAAGAAAGGACATGAATTTTGTGCATAAGTGGGGGGTAGTCAAGTGGGATGTATTGCTCGCCTAGTAAACATACGGTTGCCAGTTTGATTCCTGAGAAAATTCAGGAATTTTGTATGGTTTGAAACTGTACAAAGCTACCCTATCTCATTGGGCTACAGTCCTGGTTGAAGAACCAGAGCTGATCAGTTGCTAAACTATTTCCATTTAACACTTTCTGTATGTCCTTTACTCATCTTTGCCTTAAAATATGTGCTCTCATTTTTTGGCATTGTGCAAAAAATTATCAAATCTAATCAAAAAATGTTATCTAAAAATGTTACCAACACTATAATTTGCAGAATTGCAGCTAAATTTGGTTCCATTAAGGAGTACTACAAGAGTCACTTGTAGGTCCATTCTTTTTATGATTAAATGTGTAGTCTAAAAATGTACTTTTTATGTGGATCTCTCAATAATTATTTTAGAAAAAAAGACAACCAACTACAGTTATAACCAGCTATGAAAATGATTTATTAATGTTTTTAGAATTCCTTACCTTAACCATATTCAAGATCTTGTTGGGATCAGTAATACCGATTGTCGGATCTCCGTCAGTCAGGAAAATAACTATTGGTTCAGGATTTGCCATGGTATCGTTGGCAGAAGTGTCAATAAAACTTGATCCTGCTACCAACATCGCTGTCTTCAACGCACCATGAATATTCGTCCCTTAAATCAAATAATATCAGTTATGTTATTTGATGTTGTTATACGGTTGGTGGAATGCAAATATTCCTTGGATCCCAGAGGCAGAAAAAAATTTGTCACTGTATTTGCCCATTCCGAATATTTTAGGTTATAAAATACAAGGGTAGCTAATTCCAAAAAGCCAAGCATGTAGCAAAACAAACCTCAACATTTAACAGAAAATACCACTGGCATAGACTTAAGAAAAGAAAAAGATACTCACCTCCACCAGCTGTCATTTTCTCCACCACGTCCTTCGCTTTCCTAATATACTCCTCGGTGGCTGGGTAGGGTGGCACAGCCAGGGGTGGGGATGGTGGGGTGGGAGATGGGGAGGGAGTTGGGGGAAGTTCTGCTTTGTTGTACCACCACAACCCCGAGGAATGAAGCTCTGGCTGTATCACGGCACTGGACGAGAGGGAGTCAAGATTCCAAACCTGAAGGAAATTGAAAATACTTAGCTACTGGACATTGATACATACAAAAGGTTAAAAATAACTGGTGCACTATTGTGGGATTTGCAGTGAATAAAGCGAACACAATTTTTAGCCTAAGGGTTCATTCTCAAGTTCACCCTCAAAGAGCCACTACATCCCGAGGTAGTGTGGAATTATTGCAACACAAAGACATGGAAACATTAGATCATAGTAACCGGTATCAGCAAACAGAAACATACTTTATCCCATTAGCATGACATTAACATTGAATATCCTACAACTTTTATAAAGGAAATACGATAATAATAACCAAGCAGAGGGAGTAACCATATGGTTTTATGGGGAAAATTACAAAAATTGAATGGTAAAATATTAGATTGTTTAATTTACAGAATTGGGGGTTGTGTCATTTTGTTAATGGGTTAATCATTTAAATCGTTTTGTCATTTTTTTAACAGGTTAATCATTAAAATTTTTATCATTTAAATCGTTTGAGCCGTTTTAGTAAAAATAAGATTTTTATTTTGTGGGATTTATAGAAAAATCGCCATTAAAATCTAAATTAAAAAATGAAAAGATCCTAAAGATATGGATTAGTAGCTACGTACCAAATTCCATCAAAATCGTACCACAGATGTAGTTCTAGCTGTGTACATAACCACACACACACACACACACATACAGATATTTTCTTAGCATCTATATGATTTTACCGCATGTGTAAATCTTACCGTTACAGCATAGGAGAATTCTATGATGTTGAATGAGTCTGTTGGGTCAAGATCGTCCAATATTTGTGTCATTGCTTCTTTCAACTGCTGCAGCTTACGTCCAGTCATGCTGCCCGAGACGTCCAAAGTGAAAATAACATGTTTACGAAGCGGAGGTAGATCTGATGGAGCTACAAAATGGACGAAATATCCTTCATTTACCTGAAACAAAGTATTCAACGTATCATATCAAAAACACAATAATTCTGTGCATGCCAGTACAAGTAATTTTCTCATACCAAATAACTCTACTCTTGAGATTAACAAAACTTCAGAAAATTGAATAACTGGCTTTGATGAGAACTGAGAACCAACAAAAGAGAGTGAAGTATCATCAACAATAATAAAAAATAAAAAAAACTAAGTATACAGTATTTATATTTTTACTATGTAAAATAAATTCTTTGATGTGTGTTCTAAATTTAGGATGAAGACATCCCCATTAAAGAGTATAATGAGTGAAGATTTATAATTTTAAGTCCTAAAGTAGAACCTCTTTTACCCGACCCTCTATTACAAGTGCACTTTACAAATCGCCTTGACAACACCTTAACACATCATGTCAAATTAACCTCAATAACTCTGTTTTCTAAATCAAAATATAACTCAGAACCTCTATAATTAGTTGTTTTGAGAAGTCATCCTTGATAACACGACTTTGTCATTACTGTATTGAAGAGCTTCCGCAACAATTCTACCAGAACGGATGTTTTAGAAAAGTGTTGTCAATTCAGACTTTGGTACAAATCTACCACCCACAACTATCTATCAATAGGAGTAAAACCATTACTATAGTTATAGGTTACGAAAAACGGTTGAAAACTTTGCTTGACATGTGTTGCATAGAGGAGTCAAATTTATAACTACTAAGCTTGATTTTTTGGTTGACCAGTATTATTTTGTTTTGTTTGTTATTGTAGTAAACTAGTAAGATTTTATGAATAGCCAAGAGGTTCTGAGGTATTATCTCCCCAGAACACAGTAAATTTGGGGTTTGATGCACAGCTAATGAGGGCCTGAGGGGTTCACTAGTCTGTGGCAGTGCTCAAAATGAGAGGGCCCCCTAAAATAAAAGGTGGACCAACTGAAAGAAATTTGACATAACAGGTGAATTCTTTGTTATATTCCCCACAGATCAGCCATTCCACTACTTTTTGGTCACTCTGTAAATGTGACCACCAAAACACTTGCTTTTAAAATAATTTAATAATTTAACGTGACAAGCTCCTAGTATTATTGACTAAAATTTTGAGACTAGTTATTCTATTAAAGGTCAATAGTGACTTTTCTCATAACAACATATAGAACTAAATTAAATCAAAACAGGAAAATCACATACCAAAATTGTCCCTCCAGGTGAACGGTTGTCGACATCATAGCGAATCACAAGCTGTCCGGCTAATCCTTCGCCTTTTACCACCTCCAGTAGAGACTGTAAATCTTGCGACGGCGAGAATCGAATGTTTACTTTCTTCTTGCCCAGTTTTTCGACTGATACTTGATCCCACACTAGAAATTTGCAGATGAGTTAGCTAGATTAACAGCAATAAAATACATGTATGTGGATAAAGCTTGACTTGTAATCAGGTTGTCAGGTTACAGTGGCGGATCCAGAGGGGGGCATTCACAGGCCGTCGGGCATTCATATATATATTTTTTTACTGCATGTAATACAGTAGTGCGTAAACATTGCGTAAAATAATTTGTCACACTAACTTTGGACTAAGAAATGGTATAATTTGCCATTTTGGAGACTTAGTTAACACAAATTTTTGGGGGGTACCCCTGAACACTAGACCCCCAGTTTGCCCCCCCCCCCTTGTGACTGTTCTAGATCCGCCACTGTCAGGTAATTCCGTTAAAAGTCAGTAGCTTTTTGACAACTTGAATCCTAAATGATTGGGCTTTTAGTAGTGGCTTAAGAACATATTTTCTTGAACAGGTTTATTTGTTTGCCTTCACTTTCTGTTTCATTGATTGGATATGAACAAATTATTATTATTTTCATTTGAGATGGGGACGCCTCCTATGTGTGTATTTCAAGCCAAATATTAGTGTAGAATGGAATGTGATGCCTTGTGTACCTTTGTTTCTGACTAAGACCAGCTGTTTCATTACTCAGGACCATTTGTAAAAAAAACCAATGATCAAGGACAGCTGGGTCCAGTTTTGGACCATCCATAAACGACACTTTTTTCTCATGATCAAACCGGAATTAATACCAGAGGAACTCCACAGTATCTCAATCTGGTTCCAGGCAACCCTAATCAAACGTCAAGTTTTGACTGGGACGTGGGAATAAATAACAAGTGATACAAAATAATCTTCCCTTCCTAAGTTCATAAGTAAACAGCAAACTCTCAATTTTCAACACACACAAAAAACTTCTTAACAGCAGTGCTTTCAAGCATCAACACTTCATGAGGTCCTTTCATAGTGAATGATAATAAGCAACTAAGCGAGAGTAAGCGCAGTATTGTTGTGTGCCCCCTTCATTCCAGGCAAGTACTCATTTATTAAGCGAGTAAGCTACAATCTCAGCTACTAGCGTAGATCTCGACTCTCCTGTGTACGAACTCTAAGCCTTTGTCAATCAAATAATTTTGATCAAAATTAATTGTGATTTTGTTCTATTTTAATTTAATTTGGTAACTTAACAAATAATTTCTTTCTTCTAGAACTAGTTTTGTTTTTGTAAAATGATGAACTATATTTGCCAACGATTGCTTTATTTTGAGAGTTATGATGGGGATTTGTCTGAAATCTAACTACAAGAAATATCATTGTTATGTGCTTATACATGTTTAATCCCCTTAGCACATACAACTCATAAATTGGGAGGATTAAACCATTTTAAACAAGATTTTTTTTTTAAAGGGAAACAATGATAAAAAATAGACTAAAATAGAATTAGTTGTTTCATTTCATCAGCAATTTTCTCCTAGTGATTTATGTATGATTTTTGTGAGGAATGAAATTTTATTCGTACAACATGTTTCAAAGTAAAAATAAACTCACCTGTTTCATTGTTGTCCACCAATATTTTACCACCCGTGTGAAAAGGTAAAACGGCAAGCTTTGTTAAATGGTGGCTCTCAGAAATATGTACAGACACGGACAAATCAGGAACTATCTGTAAACAGGAAATAATTACTTAAGTTACACGATTTAAGACACCTTTAGTAACTTGACCTCTTACTAACTTACTTACCGTACTTACTGGAGTGGCCACTGGTACCTCAAGAGATACTTGGGCTCACCCACGCACTGCCTCCAGGTGTCTCATACTTGAGCTTATATTTCACTTCTACCCAATCTTCTAATATCTTTTTGAACTTGATTTCTCCATCTTAGCTTAGGCTGTCCTGGTGGTCCTGGTGGAAAATTGACGCAAATATGCAACGTCAGTCTAGAAACCGGCTGTCGCATATATGTGTGTTGCTGGTCCATATGCATGAAAAATTTAGTACTATTGCGGTAGCAAACTTGTTAAGGTAAAGCTTGAAATTCTCTTTTACACCAAATCAAAAAGACCAATAGAACACACAGATAAATGAGCTTCGGTTACTCAAAGTAACATCTCTAAAATTATATAGTAAAGTAAACTTTTTTGAGAAACATACACAAATGAATGGTTGTAAGTAAATTGTACCTGCCCTGGATGTAGGTTGACGACGTGATTGTACAGTCCAAGTTTACGACTCAAGAGCTCCTCGTAAGTTAGATTGAAAGTAGCTCTTCCCCTGGCTTCCAGACTTACGGAGATCAGAAAATGACTGGAGTCCCTCGCACTGTAGAAGAGAAATGAGTTTGATTATTGATGAATTATGTATACTGAAGTTGAAGTGTATACATCTTATACATGTAAACCAGCTGGTGGCCAATTGTTTGGGCATAATTTTGTAGCCAAAAGAATGTACCAATATAACATAAATTGATCCACATTCTGGGTTATACAGTCTAAAACCCTGCTATTTTCTCCCTTATTTGTTGTTACTGGGATTGTTGATGTGACGTTAATGATTCCATATACAATAACTTACTTGTACTTTCAGTTTTGTATGGCAAAAAAGTTGCATTTTTTAATGAAAAATCTGTAATTTTTCAGCGCATTCACACAGTGCTACAAAACTGGCTACATTTTTTTAACATGGAAACGGAAATCTAGTTCTACCCATGCTCTCTCTAATACAGGGCTAGAGAAAAAAAATTGCTTTGCTAACAGCCATGATGAAATATGTTCACAATAATCCTTTTACATCGTCAGATCCTCTTCTGCAAGCATTTTTGCTTTGCATCAACTTCTTTAAGACATCAATCCATCTATCTAAATACTTAATACAATAAGAGATTTCTCTGTTATATCCCGTTCCCCGCCGTCCTACTTAGTTGATTTTTACGATTGAGGTGTCATTGTAAAGCTTGTAACCTAGCAAAGAGACAAATGGTAACTAAAGGTAATTTCCTTTAAGGCTCGCCTTTAGGAGCTCGCTTGCAAAGATTCATTGATGCTGACCAAGGCCCCACTAGAGAAAACAGGCCATGCTGCAGCACGGGCAGTGCAACACTACGTCACAGTGGTGGATAGTTATTTATTTATTTATTCATGCAACAAAAAAACATAATAATCAAAATACATTTCATACAAAGCTACAAAAGCCTCAGTAGGCTTGTCCGCAGCTATAGATAAGAGTCCAGTTCAAAAGTCCATTCACAAAGATTCCAGTCAGTTTCTTATCTGGTACAAGCTATTCTCCCCATCTGTTGTATTAAATAAATAGGTTTTCACATTTCATTACCATTTCTTTCATTTTTTTAACAATAATAGGAAAAACTAATACAACAAAAATGTTAATACAAGTAAATAAATATTTGAAAAAAAACAACAAATTACTACAGGTAATTAACAAACCCATTTTTTACTTAAACTATTTAAACAATATTTAACAATAACAATGCATAGAATTATAACCATTAACAAAGATAAATTCTGAAAAAATTTAACAATTAATCAAAAATCTTTTTAATTCAGCTTTCAAGGAAGAGTATGACTTAAAATTACTTAAACTCATTGGTAACTCATTAAACAAATATGGCACTAAATAATGTCTAGTTCTCTTTGTATATTTATTGTTCACGCAAGGCATAACATAAAAGGTTCTCCTAGAATTATATTTATGAGAGTTTTCTTCTTTAAATCTATTAAAGAAATAATAGTCTATAATTAACAAGAACTTGAACAATTTTTCAACTGACAACGTGTTAGTAACCTCAAAACAACAAATAGGATTAGCCCCAACAATAGCACCATCAAGCTTTGCTATAATTTTTAATAATCTTGTTTGGGCCGTCTGTACTTGGAGCATGGTCGTGTGTGCAGCACTTCCCCATGCTTTTAGGCCATATCTAATTATTGACTCGCACATTGAGGAATACAATAATTTCATGGTGTTGTAGGGCAGATATTGTCGTAGATAGTAGAATTTTGCTGCACACACCCTTAGCTTTTTTGTGACTTCTCTTACATGTACATCCCATTTGAAATTATGATCCACTATAATTCCTAAATATTTAAAACTACATACATTGTCTAGGCATCTACATTGACATTTATCTCCTTTGTGAGTTGTACTAAAGTCTTACTATTAAAATATTACAAACAAAACCAGCTTGTTTATTTACCTAAAACATATGGGAATGGTGATGGCAATGAATTTATCAATGAAATCTATCCACTAGTGTGCCGTTATGGATCCTGCAGCATGGCCTGTTTTTCTAGTGGGGCCTTTGTGCAGACCCACTTTCTTTATAAAAGTTTAAATGTGAAATTGTTATTTAACAGCTGACTGTATGGATCAATATTTAAGCACATTCAGAACGTAAATAAGAGACAAAAGAGTTTATGAAAATCAATAATTTTAAATTAGTTAATTTTTTTATGATAATTGTAACCTGATTTAAGTAGGTAAATCACTCTTTATTGGTGTAGATACAAAACCAATTCAATTTATTGTAAACTACCTACAAGTTTTATTCACCTTATGGCTGTTTAACAGTAAACCACAGAGGTAATATCTGAAAATAAAAAGATTTTTTCATTATTCCTTTTGCCTAGGACATCAGTTTCAAACACAATTAGTGCATTTTGCGCACAGGTCCCTTTAAGCTTCAAACAACCAATCAAGCATCTCTAACAAATTGAACTAACAAAAATGTTGTAATAATTAAGTAGCAAGATATATCAAATCATATGTGAGACTCACCTTACCGCAAGATGTCCAGCTGTTAGTCCGTTCTCTACGGCATTCTGGTACAAGTGATGAGCTTTCTGCCGTTCCTTTACAAAAGAGTTGTACACTTTCCCACCAACTTCCCTGACAAGAAAAACATTTGATTTAAAACTTTGAGAGAATAGACATTTCTTAAATGTTTTTATACGATAAAATAGTTTTACAAATTGGTTTTATTTTAAACTAGCTTGTACCCGTAGCTTCGCCTGCGATGGTATAACCATAAATTAATATACTTCACCAACGATCACATAAATAAGATATTATCATTATTTATTGCGTCTCGCACAGTTTAAAAAATCATGTTACGATTAAAAATTATACAGTGATAAAATTACAACCATCGGTGAAAACCATTTGTTTAGTCTCCAACTAAAAAATCTTACAAGGATCTAAAATCTTGAAACTGAAAATGCTGTGACTCTTCAGCTTCTCCAAAGTATAGTTCTTTCATAGCTTTATCGGCTCTTCTAATATTTATATATTTATATGACTCCGACGGGTGGCGTCGTCCTGTAATCCAGCTACTAGGAGGTCACGAATTGTGGATAATTATAGACATGCACTGTGGATGCGATACTCCCTGGTGTGGATTAACGTCCGCACGGGTGAGTACTACGACTATCCGCAGTACTATCCTCATAATTAGACCAATTCGTATATACCAAGGAAAAATGTGGTTCGGATTCCACTATAAACTGTAGGTCCCTTAGTCGCCATTAGCTGTATGGGCTATTAATTAACAGCTGTGTCTAAGGAATATGTCGGCCTTAGTCACTAACAAGACTACAAGACAAGATCGCGCCACTCATCATACACTCATCTCAATTCATACTTGGCTTAAAATACCTACTTTGTATGGTCGCCATTTCAAATAAAAGTATAAAAAGTATAAAGTATAATACAGGTAAAAAACTTTTCCACCAGCGCAACACATTCCAGTAGGCTCATCTCTCCATGTTAATGCTCTAACACTCCGTCCTTTCGACATACTTTTAATAATATTTGTATACTGTCTATAGTCTTTTTTGTTGCATAGATTTCCATTGCATAGTTTTCAAACTCACACCAAGTATCGAAATATCTCTAAATGCGTTGCTGCTAGTTCAAATTGGCTGTTATCATAAGTACAAAAAAATATAATAGTGCTGCACCCTGTAGGTAAACCTTATAACTTTTTAATGCTATTGAATATACTGTCTAGTTGAAACAGCTGTCAAAATTCTTTAATTCCTTTTAAATATGAATACTCATTAAGGTTAACATGGGGAATTCCAGAGCCACCGTGGCGGAGCCCGAAGCGGTTTTTGAAATAGGGACTACAGGGTTTTACAGCTTATATGTAAAATCGGTAATATGAACTATCATAATGTCAAATTTCAACCCAATCCAACCAGTAGATAATGTGTGATTGAACTTCAAACAAACAAACACACAAACTTTCACCTTATACAGGGTGTTGAAAATGTCTGGAACCAACATTATATCTAGTGAGTGGTTAAAGAAAAACAACTGATATTTTGTGTACGGATATACTATGGTTTTACCTATCTTTTGGTGCTTTATGCAATTTTTTACCACTTATAGGGAACGTCCTGTGGAGGATGCAGTAAAAAGTTTTAATGAAAGCCTATGGTAAATGGTACATCATTTTAAAGGCCATTTTTTTCTGAGTAAGGAGCCACAAGTTTCATCTCAAAAGGACCACCCTAGCAAAAATGGCGACTGTTTGAAATTTAAAAACCCACTTATAGGGAACGTCCTGTGGGGGATGCAGTAAAAGGTTTTAATGGAAGCCTATGGTAAATGATTCATCATTTTAAAGGCCATGTTTTTCTGAGTAAGGAGCCACAAGTTTCATCTCAAAAGGACCACCCTAGAAAAAATGGCGACTGTTTGAAATTTAAACCACTGCTATTTAATTATAGCAACATCTTTCAGTTATTTTCAAAAACTTCAAACAGTCGCAATTTTTGCTAGGATGGTCCTTTTGAGATGAAACTTGTGGCTCCTTACTCAGAAAGAAATGACCTTTAAAATTATGTATCATTTATCATAGGCTTCCATTAAAACTTTTTACTGCATCCTCCAAAGGACGTTCCCTATAAGTGGGGTTTTTAAATTTCAAACAGTCGCCATTTTTGCTAGGGTGGTCCTTTTGAGATGAAACTTGTGGCTCCTTACTCAGAAAAAAATGGCCTTTAAAATGATGTATCATTTACCATAGGCTTCCATTAAAACTTTTTACTGCATCCTCCACAGGACGTTCCCTATAAGTGGCAAAAAATTGTATAAGGCACCAAAAGATAGGTAAAACCATAGTATATCCGTACACAAAATATCAGTAGTTTTTCTTTAACCACTCACCATATATAATGTTGGTTCCAGACATTTTCAACACCCTGTATATAATACAAGAAGGCGATTTCTACGAAACACTACTTCTCGGTTAGTAATTGACGGATTTTTACAAACGAGGTGTCAAAATTAAGTATTTTTTGTGTAGACGCCCCCTTTCACAAATTCCTGTAATAAAAGTCTTCAAGCTTTGCCCCACAGGCCATCAAAATCCCATATTTCTTATGAAGAAAAGATTTTGTTTACTTAAACAGACGAATAATTTGTATTAATTACAGCTGTTCATAGTAAACACATGATCGTTTTCAGAGTGAGTTCGTTTTTAGTTTCGATAACTGGAGTGGAGTGATTGATTACATTATCTTTGAGTTGACTCTTTTAAGTCAACGGAAATTGTGACTGTTATTCGTTTGAAAAAAACGCCTTTAATATTTTGCAATTGCTCGAATTCGAGCAACAGGTGCACTAGTTTATAATGTTAGTATAATGTATAACGTCTTAACGAAAATCATGTCACTGTATGGTTACCTTTTTGATCTTGTGAAAATGTATTTAGGAAATCTAATAACGTGTTATCTCTTGTTTGCTTGTTTGAATGAATATTTTTGAAAACAAGCCTGAATAAAAATATAAAGACATAATTACTATTAAAATAAGTCATTGAACTAAACCATACAATGAATTAAGAAAAAAGAACTAATCAGCACAATTTTTGGGAGGAAGTTAAAGAAACTTATCAACCAATTAAAGAAAAACTGACCCAAGCAAAACAAGCAACAAGGTCAAATGTGTCTACAAATATAACTGTTATCAAGAACATGTTGTAACAATTTGCTAACTCTAACTTTATTTTTATAGCCAATTAATCAATTTGCTAATAAGACTGTGAATAAGGAGATCTGATTTAATTTTAACCTCAGTCAGCAAAAGATTTTAGTATCTTAGAGACCTTTTGACTTTTAACGTCAATTAAAATCCAGACAGGCAAGTAGGCTATATAATGTGATTTTTCAAATAGAAAAGGATAAAAGAATGTTTAAGGAACGGAAATGTATACTGTAACAAGTATTCAGTGAAAAAACATTGTGCTAAATTAAATATACATACTGAGTCAGTAGGTATGTGGATAAGATACATTTTTAAACCTGTAATTAATATTAACACTACCGTAAAATGGGGTGAATAGAAACAACAGGGTGAATAGAAACAAAACTTCAATGAATGATTCACATTTTTATAACTTTGTTATACATTGACTTTATATAAGGGAATTATTTTCCCCCATTATAACCATATCCTATCTACCTGGGAAAAATTATTTCAGCATATTGGTATCACTGCTTCGGATGTTGGATGATGCGAAAACTCATTTGAAAATTTTGGCGAAAAACATTCTTTTCAAAACTTTCTCTCTAAGTATGAACCTATTACATGTATTTATGTTAATAACCATTTTTTATATTGTCTTAGGTATCTTAAAACCAAGTGTGTTAATAGATTAGCCTTAAAATAAACTATATTTTTTTACTTTATTTTTATTTGAGGTTATGTCATGATTTTGCAAAACCAGGGTAAATAGAAACACTTTTTTTAACCAGTGGTGCAAATAAAGGTGGACCTGAAAACCCCCCAAAAAAGAAAATTACCAGAGATGAAGATGATTCCACATCAGTCACACTTCTCACTGGAAGAAAGTGACAAAGACGAACAATTTGATGAAGAAGAACCAGCATACCTAGCTTAAGACATCAGTGAGTCTTCAAAGTTGTCCCTTCATGATCATGTAATTGTCAAAGTAATGGGGAAAAACAAAACTTGCTATCGTTTATATGTTGCAAAAGTTATTGAATTTGACGAGGAAGGATAAACAGGAAGATTCATCAAGAAAATTGCGCAAACCAACAAGTTCTGAGAGACAGATTAAGGAGGCCCTCTTCAAAGTCGATGACGTAGTACGTCGGCTTCCAACTCCCAAGCCGTGTACAACTTGTAGATTTAAGGGAGTGTTGTATTTTGAGGAAGATTTGTCTGATTTTACTCTACATTTAGTTGGTTTCTATGTAAGATTTTGTAACTCTGATTTCACCCATTGTCATTTATGTTCTCCGATTTGTTTGGATAAGGGTTTATGAAAACGATGTTTTTATACTTTGTACTTATATATAAATGTGTTAATTAACTTTAAATATTTTTATTTACAACAACCTAAGCTAACAAGCATAAATTTCATGTTTCTATTGCCCCTGGTAAGTGGGGAAAAGCAACAATCATCAATTTAACACAGTGTTTCTATTCACCCCAAAGTGCAGGGTGAATAGAAACAGCCATATTTTATTTTTTTTCTGCTTAATGATTAAAAAGAAAAAAAAATTGATAACTGGTTTGAGTAGAGGAGTCCAAGACCGAAAATATGAGCTAGTGTTGAAAATTTAAAAATTAAAAATATTGTTTTTACAGAAGCTTAAAAGTCAAAAAGTGTTTCTATTCACCCCATTCTACGGTACTTACATGTTACACGAATAAAAAAACAATTCCACTGTTCAGAGTGACACGACAACAATATTCTGAACCAGAAGAATTCAGCCATCCCGGGATGTAATATTTAGAGTTTTATAATTAAAAACCGCAGCTGCATGTACTGTTCTTTTACTATCTGCCAAAAGATCTTGTGACTCTAAATAATACAAGAACCTTTGAAAAGTAATCAAAGGTTTTTATAATCAGCGTTGCTAACCTTTAAAATACAGTAGCATTGAATTTGTCCTCAGGGATACATCATTATAGTCCGTCCGTTTGGCTATGATACCCAGCGGATTAGGGACCTTCTCGGAACTCAACTCACCCTCTCTCGATCCGCTCGTCGGGCTGGCCGGAGACAAAAAGTGGCTCACCTACTGTCACAGTACCACAAATCTGTAACTTTTTTGCTTTAAGTTCAAATAAAATTTTCTTTAAAAATTTGAGTTCTACATGAAATTAAAAAAATAATGAGCCCAAACACGATGTAGATACTTAATATCTACGATCTGAAAGTATTACAATTACTCAGTATCGTCACGAGCTTTGTCCGACTTTCAGATCGTAGATGTTTGAGTATCCACATCGTGTTTGGACTCCTTTTTGTTGGAATTTCATGTAGAGCTCAAATATACAGAGAACAATTTGTTTTAACTTGAAATAAAAATGTAACAGATCTGTGGAACTGTGACAGTAGGTAGGTAAACTTTTTTAACAACGCCCAGCCTGGCGATCGGGTCTGAAGGGTGAGTCGAGTTCCGAGAAGGTTCCTAATCCGCTGGGTATCATAGCCAAACGGACGGACTATAACTCAGAGATGCATATTAACTCTATTTTGTATTCATAAATAATAAATAACAAATCATAAATTAAGCATTTCTCTGATTCTTATACAAAAACATTTCAAATACAATGCTTTCAGTGCTTCATGGGTGTGGTGATAAAATACCCTTCTGTTTGTGGCATGTTAATGAATTTGAATTGTAACTACTTCTAGTATAGGGGTTTATTGTTTTACTCAGAAAGTACTAAAAACGACTCATAAATGTAAAAAAAAATAAAAGTATTTTTCCCTCAGTAAAGTTTTGAATAAACCCACGAAGTATAACACTACTACATATAACAATGTATAACAATGTAACGTGACTGCTGAATGTATTATTTTGTAAATGACTAAAAAACTACCAACACCACCTTAAAATAAACTTACAATGTAAAGCCAGTGATAAAGGCAGTCTCGGGTAACAATACGCTAAACTTGGCGTGGCTTGGAACATTTTGCGTGTTGTGTACTGTGCTGGAAACAGTGGTTGTAGCGTAGCGATACAAAATCGTAGAGTGAACTTTCAAACGTTCTATCACCACTGGATCCTGCTCTAAAGTCTTTGGCTAGAACAAAATAATCATCTAAAACTTCTCGTGTGATATAGTATATTTCATTACAAGTACCAAATGCGGCATTTTTCAATGTGCGTCCTATTTTATTCACAAGCAAGACAAAGCAGAACAAATAGGAGGGAGCTTCAAATAATCACATACGAAGCAAAAGCCATGGACAGGAATAATTGGAGTGCCACAAACTCACTTTGGGTACATGTTATGAACGATACTTTTCATCACAATGCAAAAATACTCACATACAGAATAACAGACCTCAGCAAAATTAAAACTTTTATGTTCCTCCCTCAAATTATTGTTCTTGTAGTATAACAATTTTAACAAACAGGTAAAAGCAAACCTACATATCAGCATACAAATTAGAAGGTTAATTTTATCTTTATTGACACGTACCATGCTAAAAAAAAACACAGTAAAACTAGCTTATGCCTAGTCTGTTTACATTTGGAATGTAAAAAAGGAAAAACAGACTTTAACAAAAAATAATATAGTGCACGTAGTTGAAGAATTGAAGTTGTTGATTCAATATGGATTAGTTGAAGAACATCTTGCAAGCAAAGGAAAGGTAAATTTAAAGCAATTTTACGGAATGATAAAAAATAATTCATAATATTTTTCTCCTTAGTAATATGGATTTTGAATTCCCTTGGAGTTTGAATAATTGAAACAAATTTGTTACATAACTTCTAAATCAAGCTTCCAGATAAATGATTAGTAGAGGAGGACATCACTTAGCAATTAAAGTTTTACTTGGCAAAAGTCAAGTTAGTAAATAGACATAGATTTATTTATTTTTTCTGATTATAACACAGCATATAATAATATAATGGTTATAATATAGCAATGTCATTCCACGATTTAGAGTAAAATAATATTACTAGTTTCCGATTTGTTAGTGGAAAATATTTACCGATCTTATTCTTCGGAAACTTGCTTCTCTAATCTGTGGCAGAGCCAACACAAATGTGGAGCACTCTAATGACAAAACCAGGAAAGACGACAGTAGCATCTGTAAAACAATGAAAATAAACAAATAAACAACAAACAAAAAGATAGTAACATCTGTAAAACAATAAAAATAAACAAATTAAATATTAAATGACAAACAAAAGGATAGTAACATCTGTAAGACAAGAAAAATAAACAAATTAAAAAAAGACATTAACAACTGTAAAACAATAAAAATAAACAAATTAAACAACAAACAAAAAGACAGTAACCTCTGTAAAACAAGAAAAATAAACAAAACTAACAAAAAACTAAAGGATCATGGATGGCATGGAGGAACCAACCCCACAAAAAATGTAAAAATACATTTTTCGATTGATTTATACAGCTCAATACACCCAAAAAAATTTGCAAAATTTATTACAACAATAACTAAATGATATAAACGAAAAGAAAATCCAAATGAGATCAAAAGCTTAATGCAAACTGTAAATTGAATAAATGATAATATAAACATGGTTTAAGATTAATTTTTGTTTTTAGGATAAAACTTAGTTGTAAAGTGTTTAGTTTTAAAATGTAGCTCTGGGTGTATCCTGTACCCCCAGCCCCTGAATAAAATATCTGTTACCCCCTCTAACTTGCCACAAACTATTTATAGTATACTAACTTTAAATTTTAATGCACTCTTAAGTAAAAGAAAACCCCTACTTTGTTCTGCTATACAGAAATATTTTTGTAAGTTAAAATATGTATAACAGTTTTAAGTCTATGTTTTTATAACACCCACTGTTGCTAACATATCTAGGTTTGTATTTACATATTTTATACTTTACATAGCCAAAGTCAGGCAGAGAAAAGGGAAAAGGGAAAGCAATTCTCACAAACAATGCAGCACTAGCTCCTATGTTATGCTAATTAATTGACAAACTACCAAAGTGACGAATTTCACTTTTCATGGATACTCCTCAGTCCGCTTTCATGGTGAACTTTACTTGGAAAACTATTTTGTGTGCCTATCACAAATACTAATACTAGAACAGAAACAGTATGAATCATAGAAAAATTATACTACTATGGCCCGAAAGTAAACATTATTTAACATTGCTTAGATTAAACAGTGCAAACCATTTTATTATGTTAATGTCATTAGTATAGGATTCGGGCCAGTTACGTCATTTGTTTGTGTTAATGATCCATACCACTTTCTGTTCTAAATATACGTGGTAGTTATCTCACAAAAATGTAATTTAATTGTGTGGTATACGTCTACATTCACTACTATACTGATTGACAGTGGTATAAATGGTAACTTTGCGCTTTTTCAACCAAACTTAATATACATTCCATTTTAATTTCGGCAATGGAATATTTACTGTAAGTGATATTTACTGTATTTTTCATACCACTGTGTGGGAAATATCACATTACCACAGCTGTAAACAACACGTTCACGCAAAGTAGCTCATTTACGCTCTAGAGCGGGAATTGATCATTCCCACTCGCTAATCAGCTGATTTCACAGTTTGCGTTTCCTACTCCAACCACAGTCGCGGATCCGGTACTTAACTAACAACCGGTAATGAAATACACAACCTAAAAAAACAGACATGACCTAAATTACATTTTATATGCAGCTAAAAAGTAAATCTGTGTATATAAAGATGAGTTTATAGTTGTAGGTAGGTAGGAAAAATCGTGTGTGTATTACAAGCACTTTTTAACGAGTCATTGCCGCTCTCCACTCTCGAAATTGAAATTGGCCACACTCAACTATACAAGCGTCATGAGGCCATCTACAGTTCTCGAGCGGCAATGACGTACTACGCACTCTTACACAAAATTAGTTAATACCAGTGCACGGTTGCTGTAAAGCAACAATATATAGATCTGTCTAGCTAGATTATTCATTCATCTTAGAAAATAGTTAACAACTGCAAACCTTCAATTTCACAATGGATGAGGACGCAAAAGATAAAGATAAGGCTCACTAAAGCACCAAACAATAATTAAGCAAGCTCTATTATCATACCTACGATCGCTATTGTTTATAAGTGGCTCTACGTGTGCTTTGAAACGGGATGATGACGCAAAAGAGATAATCTGGTTCTAATTATACATTAAGTTAGAAAATAGTTGAGTTGCAACAAATTTTACACCATTGGTTAAAAGGAAAGGAATCAAACTAATTTGCAACCGTTTGATTGATTGATTGAGTAAAGAAACAATTAATCAATAAACATTTTTGTAGAAGTTTTCATTTTTTTTATTTATTTATTTATAACCCTATTGACATGTACATTTTTGGGCGTTACTAATGCATGTAAATGATACTTTGGTCAAATAAATGAGTTAAAAGTATTTCGACCAGCAAATGTTGAAAAATCATTAACTTAAAAAAAGATAGGCTAGAACAATTTTGCATACGTGCTGGTTACCTATTTTAGTCCAAACATAGTGATCTCGTATTTCAATTTAAATTCAACATGGTGTTTTGAACCTATTACGTTTTGGTACAATCAAAAGTTGACGTTAGAATTGTATACATAGCTAAGGAGAAGTAAAATACTATCACCGGCAAAGAAACAGTGCACTGTACCGACAACTGAATAAATTTCCTCTGGTATGTTTCTAGTAGAGATAGGCCTAACAGCTTGTTTTGCACAAAATATATAATTCCTTGCACCAACACTTAAAGTAGGCATAATCAAAATACACCAACCTTTTGAATCTTCCCAATTTCTTTTAAAAACGAACATCCAATCAGCACAAGTCACAATCACTTCACGGTAAACATCTAATGTCTACTTCCTTTGATTCTTACAACTGTACTAAACCAAAACCAAAGTCGTTCAAAGTAGCGCAACAATCGAATACCGTGCGGTCAGCTGATCCCCCCTCCCCATGGACGAACCCCCCACCAACAACACCGTGGGAAATTCTGACTCCCAACTCAGCTGTTTACGATAAAATCTACGTTCGCACAAGTAATCACGCATTCCGATTCCATCGTTTCCATACCTTCTTCTTTTTCTCCCTTGAAACTATGTCTTGAGTCTTGACTCGGCTCTGGGTTTACAGTACTCTAATTATTTGTTGGGACACCTTTGAAGACAGATTAATCATGGGCGCCCACAGGGGGGTGTGCTTGCACCCCCTGGTTAAAAAAAAAATAAATTAATACCCATGATGTTCTGTAACCAGCTTTATTGATCAAAAGTTGGTTTTAAGAAATTTATAAAAGTACTTTCATAATGGTTATTTCTAAAGAAATGTTTTAAATCAAATTAAATGAGTACAGTAGTTGACTCACAGATTTACCATTCTTTTATACTTTAACAAAGCTATTCAGAAAACAAAAGATCGACTTTCTTGGCTGTTATCTAGGCTCTATTCCACTGTATTTTTGTATAGTCTAACTGTTTAATTGTGGATTTAACCATATAAATTATACATAACAACTTCAAATAGCTTATCAATTTTTAATGTTGGCATAAAGAACTATGACACACCCTCCTTAAAACACAATATACTACAGTATATTGTAATATGCTATTTGGTTCTATGTGTTGCCAAATAGCGAAAAAATACGTTTTAAAACACTGTATTTTCAAAAATTTCCCCCTGATGTTTGTTATACCTATACATTTTTATATATATACAAATTCTATATATAATTCAGTTTTAAAAATCTTTGTACAACTAAATCTAGAGTTCTACTGGAACGATTTTAATAATTAATGGGTCGTTGGAAGGCTTAATTCATGTAGATTTGCAAATAATTATGAAAGTTTGTTTTTGTTATGATTTACGGTGAAAAATAAAAAAACATGTTTTCCATAAGAAATACATTAAAAACGGTGTTTTTCACACTTGTTATTTGGGTGAGACTTTCGGTTGCCTTTTTTGAGTGTTTCCAAAGGGTGTATGGTATCAATTTGTAGGAAATTTTATCATCTTTCAGAATATTACCTTCCACTTTAGTCGACTTCCTCACCGTTTAAAAGTTATTTGCAAAAAAGCTAAGCAACCTCCGAATTTATAGTAATGAGAAAATACTGAGTTAGGGATATTTTTGTTAAACTTTGTACAACTAAATCTAGACTTCTACTGGACCGATTTTGTTAATTAATGGGTCATTGGAAAGCCCAACTAACGTATATTTGAAAATAACTATGAAAGTGTGATTTTGTTAAAAATTTGTGGTTAAAAAGTAAAAATAACAAAAAATACATTAAAAACGGGGTTTTCAGGTTTCTGTTTTCAAGTTTCTATTTGTAGCCAGCTTTTGGCTGCATTTATTAATAATTTTCTAGAAATGCATAGCAGTTATTTGTAGTAAATTTTATTCTCTTTCAGAATATCACATTCACTTTGGTCGATCTCCTCTCCATTTAAAAGTTATTGGCAATAATCTAAGTGATCTCCAAATTTATAGTGGTGAGAAAATACTAAATTACATATATTTTTGTTAAACTTTGTACAACTAAATCTAGACTTCTACCAGGCCGATTTTGTTACTTAATGGGTCGTTAGAAAGCCTAACTAATGTAGATTTGCAAATAATTATGAAAGTTTGATTTTATTACATATTTGAGGTAAAACAGCAAAAATAAACAATATTACATTTAAAACTCATTTTACTCTAGCCTTAACTTTAAAAAAAAAACGTGTATATTGCACCCCTGTTACAAATCCTGCGGGCGCCCATGAGATTAATGTTTAAATTACGTAGTTTGAACGACTACAGCTGTTTTGTGCTGGAGCAAATTTAGCACATCATCGGGTAAGAATGTCAGCTGATTAACAAATTCCTGATGGTGGAGCTCATCAAAAGAACAGGGAGCACACGAAAAATGACAAGAAACACACACGAAACAAAACCTTTTAAAAAGGGGAGCGTCTTTAAAGATAAGTAATGAAAAATTACACGGCACTCCTAGTGGTGGACGCCGGAATATACACTAATTACAGCACTGTTGTTGTTGATGTTTGTCTATGCAATGCTTCTATCTATGGTAGTAGACTCTAACTATCTACTCTCACTCTATTACTATCTCTTTAAATCTACTCTTTTGTATATATAGTAGTTACAGTTAATCCGTTTTAGATGCATCTTACCTCTCTGTGCCTTCATTTTTTGGAATCCGAACGAGTTCGCGAACCAGCATGATTTTACTAACAGAATGCAACAGGGAAAAGTGTTTTATCGGGTGTTTTATGAGATAGAAATTGGGTTTTCCCCATTTTAATTTTCCACCCCAAAATAAAAAATTTTGCAATTTCTTATCAAAACTATTTTTAATATCTTAAAAAACAAATAATTAAGTATATTGATGCGTTGTTGAACGATTAATAGTTACGTAGGAAAATCCAATAACTAAATTAAAAAATGCCATGTTATTATTATGGAGGATAAACAAACTGTAGTTAACTTGTTAATGGATGTATGCTGATGAAATTTGGCAAATTTGTTTATTTCAAACTAAGATTTTAATAAAAATACACTTTATGACCTTCATATAGCAGCAAAATTAAGTAGGCATATTAAATGAGGGATGGCTGGGGGGAACTACTAAACAGATTTTTACTTTTCTCAGGATCTAACCAGCATTCTTCTGATTACCAGGTGAGCACTTAACCTATTTTTATAGCGTGTTATTAAAATCCCAATTAATTAACTGGTTTCAGTTTCAAACCATCAAAAAGCAACCGACTTTCCCCCAACATCGGACCGCCAACCTCTGCTCTGGCATAGGTTGAGAAACCGTGAAAACTGCAACACACAACACAGATGTGAAGCGTTATCACAAAATCATGAATGTCAATAGAATTTGTAAGACTAACAACCGAAATCAGCTGATTTCAATCCGACTGCAAACATATCACAAAACACGATGAAGGTGACGATCAAATCAGCTGATTCCAATGAGAACAGACGGGGAACGGGAAAAGCGCGGGAAAGAAGAGCTGAGAACTTGTAGATACTTGGCAGACTGCCAATGCTACCAACAAGCCGGATTAAACTGTTCCACTCTCAAGATACTTTCCCACGGTGGGATCCACGTATTTGTATAATACGACATAACCCCACAACAAAAATATAACAGCTGATCTCGGGCGAGTAGTTTTATTTACAATGGGACGATTTTGGGTTCCCCGCACGTCTTCGTTCTGATTTGTTTGGGCTCCCGCGCCGAATCGTAATATCCCTCTGAATCCGAATCCAAATTGATTTTTAGGTTAGGATGTAATAGTTCGTGTCTGTTTTAGTAATTGCGATTTGGTAAAGATACAGATTAAGGCTAGCCATGTCACTCTAAATCTGTGTAAAGGTTACTAGTGTTTCATACATTGTGACTTTAAAACGCTAGATGGTAAACTGCATTTACCACTTCCGTTGACGTTTCAACTCAGTTAAGAGTTTATTTTTTTATATTTTTCGCAGAAGTTATTATACTCAGTTCCTACAGAATATTGAAGAATTCTAATTACCTGCAAATCCTACTATCCTACTAATATTATAAATGAGAAAGTTTGGATGTATGGATGGATGGATGGATGTATGTATGTTTGTGACAAGTAAACGCGAAAAATACTGGTCGGATTGGGCTGAAATTTGGTATGATGATAGCTCACATTCCCGATTAACATAAAGACGCATTTTTATCTCAAAAGTCCTTTCGAGCTCCGCCCCAGTAGCTCTGGAGTTTCCCATGTTAACCTTATGAGTAATCATATTTAAAAGGAATAAAAGAATTTTGTCAGCTGTTTCAACTACACAAGTTGGTTCTATGGCATTAAATAGCATTAAAAGGTTAAAAGGTTTACCAACAGGGTGCAGTACTATTAACTTTTTTGCATTTTGTGTCCTCTTCCCGTTGCAAAGCACGGGTACAACAGCTAGTAATATTATAAATGAGAAAGTTTGGATGTATTAATGGATGTTTGTGACAAGTAAACGCGAAAAGTACTGGTCGGATTGGGCTGAAATTTGGGGTGATGATAGCTCACATTCCCGATTAACATATAGGCACATTGTTATATCAAAACTCCTTTCAGGCTCCGCCCCAGTGGCTCTGGAGTTTCCCGTGTTAACCTTATGGGTATTCACATTTAAAAGCAAAAGGATAAGAAGCTGTTTCCCACGGGCTTTTCCCCGTTTGACTTCATAAGAACAAATAAAACTATTGATTGGTTAAGTTAAGCTTAAAAAAAAAACAGAACACAGTAATACAAAATGATCACACCTGATTTTAATAAGGTCATTAATTGAAAGAATAACAAACAAATAATAAAAAGCTGAGGCATTTTTTACATTTGGTATATGGAAAGTTCCCTTCAGAAAGGAATTACGACCTTAAAGGGCAATTAATGAAATAATGGATAGTTTTGCTCAAGGTTTCTCGTCATGACGAACATTTTAGGTACCTATATGGTTTATGGGGGTGTGACTTTTAGTTTTCTCAAAAGTTCATCGTGTTTTGGGATTAATATATGGATTAAATAATTTTGTCCGCTGATGTTTGGTCGAATCAGCTGACAAAATTATTTAATCCATATGTAAATCCCAAAGTACCTATGAACTTTTGAGAAAACTACAAGTCTACAAGTCTACAAACTACAATAACGGGTACTCTGCTAGTATTTTAATATTTTTTAAATTTAAAAATAATTCCTGTATATTGGTTGTGCAAATCGTTGTCGAAACTTTTGATAGTTTTAGTGCAATTCAATATAATAAACACAGTTGTTTGTTAGAAAAAGAGAAAATTAAATTAAAGTTAGTGTATTTTACATCTTAACAAAACATAATGTTATTAAAAAAATAAACTCC